AAATAGATTTAGAGTTGATTATAGTTTGCTGCTAAGCATAATAATAGAATAATGCTTCTTCTAATGTTCTGCGTGAATAACTTATTCATTATTGAATTATTTCACTACCTTATTAAACTTTTATTCAATGTTTATAATGTTATTCGTTAATCTATATATTTTAAATCTTACTTTCGTTTAGTAAAAGGAATTATTCAATTCAAAAAATAGATTGGTTAATAATAGGTGTTATTACAATGTTTGTAAGTATCTATGTTAAATAAAAATAAATAAAAAATATTTTGCATTATATTCGGCCAAAGAAGCAAACAAAATATGTATTTTGTAAAACAGATATATTATATCCAACTCTTAAATCCAACAATTAAAAGTATAAATATCTCCTGCCTATCCGCATTTTTCGCCAGTTTCGCACAAGTGGAAAAAAGAGCTGCCGCGGCCACTGTATTAGCTGAAAGACAAACTCGGAATTCCGGCAATACATTTTAACTAGTCTAAAAATGGGAAGAACCGCAGCTATATATAGCAGCAGAACCGCTGCGTATACAGCAAAAACATTAAAAAAGTGTAAGATAATAAACAAGATATCTGTCAATCTGTCTATCTATACTCGTAAACAAAACCATAAACAATTAATAACCAATGTGGCAGATGATTAAGAGACGTGGGGACTATTGAATGAAACATTTATCTTTGATATAATTATATGGAAGTTCTGTAATTGTTACAGCTATAAATCATACATAACCGTAAGATTATCATATCGCATTGCGCTGTGTACAAATTGAATTTAAATTCGCATTTTAATGTAAATGTAAATTGTATTGAAAGAAAATATTATAAAACCTCAGTATGATCACTTGCAAACTCTAATAAATCCAAAAGATTAGGGAACCAGTGTCAAGACTAGTCTGATCTTATCGCCAAAAGTCATATCAAAATTTTACCCGGTTTCCCCTAATATATATATAACTGAGTGGAAAATTACCGGATAACAAATATGTTTTGCAACTATCCCATCCAGGATCGCATTTCAAATGTACTGAGGCTGGGTTAGATAATAGTTCGTTGATTGATATGCACAACTTAGCATTACAGCTTTACAGCCCACTCGAGCACAGACAGCAAATTGTGGATACTATTTATAGACTACTGCTTGTTAAAATTATGACCGTCTGAAGGAAAATTCCACGATGCATTTTGACCCACCTTATCAACACGTCTATCCATGTTATGCTGATTTAGGAGTTAGTTTTGCAATGTTTTAGTTTCTGGAAGTGGTTAGAATTACAATGGGTTTTTGTTACAAGTCAAAACGGGTTTATTATAATCACAATGTCATTTTCTACTGATTTTTGATATGTTATGTTGTAGATTATTATCAAAGAAATAATAATACTAGGTGGTTCCAAAGTGGTTATTGGACATGGAACTTTTAGAACAATCTCAACATTATTACTCAGTTCAATGGTCAATTGGTCAACTATTATTCTAGCACATTATAGTAATCTGCAACAACGTAATTTGTACACTAGTTCAAATAATTTATTGGTAAAGCGAACGAAACTGCATTTTGTGTAACAGTTTCGATACACGGGTAGTTTATTTTTACCGTAATATTCCACTTTTTGGCTTTGCTTGGACTTTGACTCTAAATAGGTCAACGTGTCTGCATAATAGGCTACAACGTGCAACAACGTGTTGCCTATTACAAGCAAGCAGATTATCTTTCGCGCACTCGAAACTTGGAAACTTGCCCTAATAGACCTGTTAAGCACAAAACATTTTAGTTCAGACAGTGAACGATTATTGCTAGTTTGAGTTCCTGGCCTACAAAATTGATGCAAGAAAGCATTTAAGATTTATCGTAGATTTCGCCAAAAACTTATATACAGGGTAGGGTGTCCCGTAAGCACATGATCAAAAGGATACTGCGATATTCTTTGGATCAAAAGAAGACGAGCTGAGCTAACTTTTATTAACAAAAAATGTCTGACTTCTCTGCTATTGATGGTCAAAGTTCTTCAAAAAATCTATCTTTTTTGAAATATCGGGAGAATGGTACGATGGATTTTGGTGAAAATGTTAGACATTAACTGCAAATATGCGTCGCGTAAACGCGTACGCTTTCACGCAAATTGTCTTGACAAAACCCTAATAGTTTGACCATTTCAGTCACTTCCTCATTAGAAAAGGTAATTCGAAACTAATTTGTGAGATTGATTAACAATTAATTTATTCCTCGTATCACGATATTTCCAGTTAATGTCTAACATTGTTAAGGGGCAAGAAAACAGAAATATGTTTTGTCGCAAAAACTATGAATGCTACAAGATTTTACAAAGAGCACAAAATTGTGAATAAATGATTAGTGCATCAACCAAAAAAAAACAAGTGATGACATGATTTCATTCAACAAATAAAAAGTTCTGATAGTTTTTCTACCACGACACTCAAGATTTCACTACTTGTCCAAAACGGATGAACTCGATTGTTTCATCAAAATATGAGTCTTACATAAGGACAAATTCACAGCGAGTTTCACTAAAATACATCGTACCATTCTTCCGATATTTAAAAAAAGGTAATTTTTTTTAAAGAACTTTGGCCATCAATAGCAGAGTAGCCAGACATTTTTTGATAATAAAAGTAAGGTCATATGGTCTTCTTTTGATGCAAATAACGTCGCAGTATCCTGTTGATCATGTCCTTACGGGATACCCTGTAGGGATTTATTTTAAAGTTTGGGCAGCTTCGGCCGAAAACCCTTTTTTTAAAACAAATGTAAGACATGAATAAATATTGATACCAATAAATTCTAAAAAGCCAAACAGCAGGCATAGAAGTCGTATTTAGACCGTTTCAATAGCCACCACCCCCGATCTTCCAAGAGAAGATGTCCGGTCCAGGGCTTTTGTTTTAACTTACGAGAGAGCTTTCTAGGATACCTAGAAATTTGGAGACGAACTTAAAACAAACTCCTCTCCGACACTAAGAATCAGGGAACAAACTTAACTCAAACTCCACCCAATCTGCGGGTGGAAATATTTAAAGAAATAAGGGAAATAATCCGTACGGTGCTATATGTACTAGTAGTGCTATGCAAGTAATAAGTTAGTGTTACTGATTGCTTGTGTCTGATTAATTATTGATCAGGTGAGTGTTTCTCACAAAGTAGCCTCTTCGACATATTTATTATTTGATGAACATTAAATATAATGTTAATGTGTGAGTGTTTCTTACATTTTTGTATTTATTTATCTTTTTAATATTAAACTGGTTTTTCTTTAATATATTTTTAAAGTTAAATACTAATAATACTTCACATAAAAGATTCACATTAAAGAGAAAACGAGTGCAACTCGTCAAGTTAATGAACAAGTACTTAGTACTGGCTGTAGACGTACAGCAGTACTGGAGCCACACTTTTATTCAGTTTATTTGAGTAATTATATTAGGGACGGGTACTGGCTGTGCGTTGTACCCGCAGTACCTGGGCTTTGAATCCGTTGAGAGAGTACGCTAGTAGGCGGGTACTGGCCAAAGATCACAGACTCTGTGATATGTGGTACTGGCTGTGGATGTCCCCCAGTACTTAGCAAGGCCAATTAAGAGACTATTTATCATGATACCCGCCAGTGACTAGTAAGGCTTTTCTTGAGGACGTATTTCGCTCGCTGTTCCGTTCTACCTCTTAACAACTCAGGATTAGCGGGGCTTTTCCTGGGGAGGTATTCCGCGAGCTGTTCTCTTAACGCCTCTTAACAACTCAGGATTAGCAGTGGCAGGATGCAACTTCGGTTGTAGTTTTGCTGTGTTCACAGATATGTTAAAGATACTACTACTGTAAATGAGAATTATAGGTAGATAACTGTTGCCTCCAAGTGGGAAATCTGGATTGAGTCATATCCTGTTGAGACACGGTTGATGCTTGTAGTTCAGTTTGATATATTTACAAATTATTGTAATCATCAATTAAATCTATTTCTTGTTGAATAGGTTACTCAATTACTTTGTCTAAATTGTTTGCAGATGTATTATTTCGATCGACCACCTGATAAATTTCCCATAGAAAAATATTGCTTTACCTGATGGACGTGTTATTATTTGTTTTCATAGTAGTTGATTTTTATCTGCAATAAGTGTAAACTAACGCCCTATACAAATAACTAAAAAAATGTAAATCACAAAGTGGATTAATTCATTAATTTAATAGACCATCGTCATGGTGATACAAGGTATACAAGATATACAAAAAAAGATACAAAATATACAAGATATAGTGAGAGTTTAGTTTCCCTTTTTTATTAGGGGTTGTCAGTTGCACCTCTTATATTTTGTTTATTTCTCCTTGTAATTGAACTTTCGAAAATCTATTGATCTTAAGGTCTATTACAAATGATTGTACTCAACATAGATTTTGCTGCAGGCTAGATTTTACAGATTTGAACTAGGTATTTCGAGAGTTTAAGCCTAACACAATGAATTGACTTGATTCCGATTAATTCTCATATACCTGAAAGTATATCTAATCTCCACTGTTCCTCGACTATCTATGTATGATCCATTTCTCGTATGATACAGAAGTTTGTCACAATGTTTTTTGAACACACAGCAAGCAAGATTATAGACATATAAGGATCGCTATCACCAAAAACTGCGAATGTCATATTTTATTTGACTAGAGAATCATCTTTTAATCCTCGAAATAAGTAGACCAATTTTCTCGGTATCTTATTAAAAACAAAGTTAATCGTTTAGAATTTGGGTCATCGTAGAATGTTAGTGATCTTTCAGTTCATCATTATCATTTGTATTGAAAATCTTCAACAATAATGTACTTTCTCAGCAAAGAGGAACGTTGAAAAAATATCATACCATCGTCACTCTGCATCCTGAGTGACGATCTATTACGTAATTTCAAGCTAATTTTAATTCATTATTAGTCATTGATCAGGCGCACCCTGTAGCATTGCTCGTATAAGTAATTCAAGCGCGTATTGAAATCGAATGGAAAATTCCCATCCAACTTGGCAATTTGCCGACGCCAAGTGAGCAAATCCGATGACGTATTTATTACCTTCAGTAAATCTCTATAGTATGAGCCAAGTAAAATGGTGATTTTAGTTCCAGAACTGAAGGAAGAATGAGTTGCTATGAGACTAATAAATATGTAATAGAGAAAGTAAGGAAATTATTTAATACTGTAAAATAGGAAATAATTTAGTGCTATGAATTAGGCGCGAAGTGCAAAAGTTAATGCAGAATAAGACATAGTTGGAACGTAATTAAGCTTTTACGCTTTTTTAAGTCCTGATTAGGTGATTAACCGATAATGGCAATCATAAAAGCAATGGGTAAGAGCTAAGTGTTCAATGAGCGTAAGACGTGTGATTTTTAAATGTGCAGCATAAGGTCTTTCTTTGTTGAATATAAAAGCGATTTTTCAAAAATAGTTTTATAAGCAAAGAAAAAGGTGCTAGTGGAAAATTACAGTAACGTCATAAAATGTTACGACTCATAATTGATTTTCGTCATATTATTTCACAAGATTCACTTTTGCCTCTGATGTTTAGTCATCAAGAATCGCTTAGGTGTTCACAAAATTTGTGAGCGCAAGTGACTGGAATTTTCACCTGTATACCTGTATGTATTAATTACCATTAAAATCTGTGTTAAATCTTGAGTCGACGTCATTGGCAATGCAAACATTCGATTTTTATGAGAACTTTTAGAACCTTAGAATTTTATTACGTACCTATATTGAAAGACTTTTCCATTCAACGAGACGACACACTTACAATACATGGTCATAAACAATATAAATTTTTCAATACTAACCATGACTAGCATACAGATTCAAAATTGGCGTCATTCCTTTTAAGGGGTTATGGAGGCTCACTTGGGGAATACGAGAAAAATATTGAAAACATTTTTTTCTTAAATTTTTAGAAGATATTAACAGTTGAAGATCGAATTTCAACTTTGTTATTAAGCATTATTTTGAAATGGTTCCATGTTTAATTGGTAGCATATTGGAATAC